GGGGGGAGGGGCTTAATTTCATTCCATGCCTATAAAACATGCTGGGACTTCCTATTGGGGGAGGCCGTATTGTTGGAGAAACGGGGTATTAGTTTCTAATATACTAAGCCTATAGCAAGGAAGTTCGTTTACGTTTTAAACAAAATCAGAGGAAAATTGTCAACTGTATTATTTTTATGAATACTGAGGAAAAAATAGAACTATTTTCTGTGTCATTTTAGAATATACCTCTTTACATTTTACGCATGTTTATTGTAATGGAAAATGTCTACAGATTGTCTTTCAGTACATACAGCCACCTGCTACAAGCCAAAAATACCAAGAGGGGGAAGGGGTGGTGCACATGTTCCTAAGTCCCTCTGTACATCTATACATTGTCCTTGCATTGTGATATATTAAATATTGAGATTTTGGACCACCTTGGCAGCAACCATAACAGAAGCAATGTAAAAAAAATACTTCCCTTTTATTTTTATGGAGTTAACTTGAGGAAGTACAAATAATGGGGGAAAAAACAACTTTTCCTACTTTTTTTTTAACAAATGAAAAAAATCCAGTAAGGACAGTGCAATTCCTGCATCTGAATTTGAATGCATAAGAAACTGTGAAAAAAGCTACTTACTTTCATTCAAATCTACTTCCATTTTGTCTTCTGTGTTGGTGCTTGATTCAAACAGGTCTTGCTTTGTTCCATCCTCTTCTTCAGAATCTGTACTCTCTTCACTGTCTGTACTGCCTGAACTTTTTATTTTAAAGAGACATATAACATGAATTTCCTCCCCTTCGCTTGTTAGGTAACCATTTTTAAAACTTAAAAACTTTGGAGGATTAAGAATAGGTGAGCAGGTCTGACTGATTCCTCCCCTTTGTTCATTAACATTATATAATGCTATAAAGAGAACTTTTTCACCGAACTCATGGTTGAATGCCCACTGATTTTAGCGCCATTCAATAGTAGAGTTTTCAGAAAACGTTTTACAGAGTGTTTTGCCCTCACACAAGCAGAGCAGCTCTCTGCTATTCATTAAAGTACTCAACTTTTTTCAGGCTTCATGATGAGCCTACAGGTCACTATTTCAAGAGTCACATTGATAAACCTGAAACCTATCAACACAATTACAGGGTATTTAAACAACATAGCAAAGCTAGACATTATGTTATGTTTGCCTCTTAGATAATATCAGGCAAATTCCAAAGGAATCATACAGAGGAATATGGACTCTTGTAAAGTCACTAGGTCCTGGAATGAAAAATCTAGTTACTTAACAATTTTACCCAGGCATTTCTGGGCAGTGTACGTAAATAAAATAAAACTAAACTATATAAACTAATTTTAAAAACTGGTTATTGAGCCTTTAAAATTAAATCAGCAACCTATTCAACAAAACCATACCACGCTAGAGTCCAAGAGCCAGGTCTTCACAGTCTTCTGAAAGGCTAATGAGGAAGCGCCATCCATCCCTGGTGGGAGGGTGGACTGTTTCATAAGACACGTGTCAATGACAGAGATATATTGCTTTCTGACCTTATCAGGCGACACTGCATCACTGAGGGGACATGCATGCCCACTCTTATCAGAACTAATGGGAGAGGCAAAAGCAATTGGGATAGGTAGTCCATGGGTTGCCTGACCCATGTCATGTTGGTCTTTAAAGTGGCAAGCAGAGCCTTGGATTTGCATCTGGAGGCCACCTAGGAGCCAGTGTAGCTCATGTAACCATATGAGCCATGTCTTCTCATAAGAAGGAATGTATAACTAACTTGACTCTACTGAACATCTTTTTTTTTATTAAGATGTGATAAAACTGTAAGTGGGAAAGCCCAAGAAAGTAGGTGGCTGACTGAAGCCTTCTTTGTATTAATTTTAAAAGTGATCCTCAAAAAATATGATCAGACACCATCCTAAATATCTTGATAGATTAAATTAAAACAATTAACTTAAAGTATGTAAGTCCCATGCCATAAGAAGTTATAAAGGGTTCTGTTTTCGGCTGTTATATTTCAGAAGGCCTCTAACCACTGAGCAATATAAAAAGGAGGCAGTGCTGAAGGTCAAAATTTGCTCTGTCACTTATATTTCAGCCAGAGTAGATTCAGTAAGAGGCCGTGACTAGCTATCAACAACAACAACAAAATAAAATGTTCCTGCTACAGTATTTGAAGATTACCTGGATCTTCTCTGAGATTCTGGAGTAAAAGCAATATGTTTCTCTTCCCAGATATCTTCTTCATCAGAGCCACCATCATCAAATTGCTGTATTCTCTCCTTGCAGCATGCTTCAAACAAAGCAATGTTGCCCTGAACATATGAAAAAGAGCACTATTAATAAATACTGATTTTTTTTCATTTATCATGCACTGTCTGTTGTGTAAATATGTATGTGTGCATATAGACAAAAGCCTCCTAAGGCGTAAAAGTTCAGATAATTATCTATAGGTTGGATGAAATAGTCATGTCAAATATTTCTAGTTATCCCTCCCTCCAAGAACCTGCTTGCCTAATCTCTGATCTCAAATTAGTAAGGATTAATAGAAAAGGGGGTGGGGGGACTTTAAAATAAGAACACAAGAATTCCAGGTTTTCCTGCACTTTGTTGTGTTATCTGCATGTAAGTGAGCAAAGGCCTATCCCTTATGAGAAAACAGGTCAGCCTGAAAACTATGTAGGCATTAGTCTTCTTATTGATGTAAAAATTACTCTTTACTCCAGGCTGGGGGTCCCATTTCTCACCCCTCCCCCATTTTGAAAGGATAAGAGGTTGATTTCAGGATAGAGAAAATAAAATATAAGGAAACAGAAGTTCATTTCAGCTTTCCATCTTTCCAAGGTCAGTAAAATGAGAGCCCAGATTGTTGAGGGCAATATGCTGATTCTGTAAACCGCATAGAGAAGTCTGTAAAAGCATTGGGAAGCTGCATATAAGTCTAAGTGCTGTTACTATACAAAATGTTTCCTCTAATTATTCCTTCCGTAAAGCATGCAGCAGTAGAATTTCTATTGTGAAAATTATAATCTTTTAAAGTACACCAGCAGGCTGTGGAACATTTGCATTTGTATTGAGGGTAAAATTGAAAAATACTTACACTTTCATTTGTATTGAGGGTAAAATTGATGTCTGATACACGATCAAAAGAAACACTGTGAACAAAGTACAAATTTGGGCAGTAAAACAAAAAGGAAGTATCACTTTATAGGATAAACTAAAGTACTTCATTTAAATAACTATGTATCTAAAAAAAACTCCTGAAATACTCCTTCCTAGTACAAAATTTTAAGCCTATTGACATAGCCCATATAAATTACTTGAGAAAATGAAACTTGAACTTCAAGAAGAATATCTCAAGGCCTTTTGACATGTTATAAAAAGGGAATGCATACCTTCAAAACATTTTTATCTCCGAGGGTGATATGAAGGAGCCAGGTTTAAAAATTATACATTGCTGTAAACACGCAAGTCATCGCAATTTGCATATATGATTAACAGTTAAATAGAGCTTGCAAAGGATTCAAGTATGCGTCTGTTAGTAACTATAATACGTGAAGATGTTCTACATACATCTTCAAAGATGAGCAGGCAGCTTGATTGCTAATATATTAAACTAAAAGCTCTTTAAACAAGCTCAAGTAGGACAAGGATTAAACTCACTTGTCTCAATGACAGGCATCACTTCTAGCAGTAGTATTCCCTTCAATAATGTGATAATATGGACACTCTTGGATAATTCTATGGGAAGGGAAATGAAATAATCTATGTTGCTACCAAACTATTTCTGGATGTCAGCAGAAAAACAATGTTAGGTCTACCATTCCAAAAATGGTTATGCTCAGACTGTCAGAAATGTTTTCAAAATTAGAATTTTAATATGCCAAAATTCTGATATGCATATCATAATGTCTCTAGATGTGAGATTCAGATTTTGATACAGATTCTTGGAATGTGTGCAGTTACATTGATGCATTTCATAAATCCAAATTAAAATAGAACACTTACACAATCTAAATTACTGAATTTCAAATGCATAAGTAAAGAACCGCATAAAGTTGTTTCTTGACCATCTCACACAACAGATGCATTTGGAAATCAATATTTAGCTGTTTTCTGATTTTAATTTGTGAAAATATCAGAATGTGCATAAACATTGTGTTAGTTGTAGGTTAGCTTTGTATATGAGCAATTGCTTATATGCAGCTTGAATTGTACTTTTAAACATTTTAATTGTAGGGAATTTTTAGCTGTCAATTTGCCATTGTATTATTGAAATATTCTAAGAGTAACAACTTGCCTGAATAATTTTCGCAGAACAAATAAACTAAATAAGAGATAGACAAACATATCTAGCAAAACTTAAAAAATCATAATGTATAATGTAAGTAGGTGGTTGATGAAAGTTTATTTCAATCCAACTAAATTCATCACACAAGGAAAAACAATTTTATAGCTTGCAACTACTAATCTATTTTTATTTTATTTATCATATGTATATAACTGCCCATCCCACATGAAAATGATTCTGTGGTTCCAAATACTGAGATATGGGTCCCATAGAATACATCCATTACGCCAACAATCCCAAATATATTTTTCAAACCAGGTCATGATATATCCCGTGTTCTAGAACTTATGAAACTTAAGAGAAAGGAACTCATAAAATGAATCTAAAGTTGTTTTTTAGTAGGTCACAACTTTCTAAATTAATTACAAATTCATAATGAGATTTCTTTTGGAGTATACAAAAAGCATAAATATTTATGGAACAAAACTAAAGCAGTATTTTATTATTTTTAGGAGTGCTGAATAATCACTGTGATGCAAGACATGGAAAACAAAAGTAACTTTTAAAATAGGACTGTACTTACTTGCCGATGTCATCTTGATCAGCAAACTTCTCATCGTTGAAGCCAAACTGGTCAATAAAATTGGACGTCATTTGTTGCATCTGATAATCAGAAAAGGCCTGGCAATCCCAGGACCAACGACAGTGATATAATGATTCTAATAATAGTCTAAATACTATTTGCCCAATTTGCTCCAGAACTAAAACTTTCATTAAACTGCAAGTACATATCATATGTGCGTGCATGCACATACATACATATACCACATATGGAGAGGGCTGTTTTGTCATTATCAGATGTATGTAATTTGGTAGTGTAGGGGATGACTGTTTTATAATTGAGTACTAAAAAATTACAGCTGATGGCACCACCACCAATCTCACTAATAGATATAAAGGAATTTTATGTTTTGTTTCATTTTAGATGGAAGATACACGGTAACCAAGAGTGTTACTATTACTTTAAAAAAAAACAATTTGCAAGACTAATCCTACTAGAATATTTGGTAAAATATAAGAAATGTGGAGGAAAAAAAGTTTCTTCTAGAATTACACTTAAAGTGAATCTCTTGCATCTTCCCAATACCTAAAGTTTGCCAAATTCCTATTTAAGGATACAGCCAAAGGTTAAGTGACTGTATCCCCATACCAAAATCAGGAATGTTATAAAATTCATTACTGCCTAAAGCTCATTTAACACCATCTCTATGTATTTACATGCATATAACAAAAACCTGTCTTTTTTTTTTTTTTTTTTGCAGATTTTGCTTTTCTGGTCTAGGGAGTTTGATGGTTTTGACTATTCGATTGAATTATATGTATAAGCTTCCTCTAGACAATGAGTAGTTTTTAATATGAAACTGAACCCTAAAGGACTATTAAAGAATCTATTATAATCAATATTTTTGTAGATCAGAGCTTTATGGTTATGTGAATATTTATATTGCTTTCTACTCCATGAGAAGGCAGACTAGGAGTACTCTGCTATCCCTTAGAAGAGAGCATAGAATCCAGCACTGAGATCCTATTGACTCTAAAAGAGATTTTAATTCCATGAGAAGAAAATATATGTAGTTCAGAGTTGAACTCTGAAATCCTTGGTGCTTCCTGAGTCGGTTGTTTGCTCGCTTATGTTTCATTACTCCAAACACCACATTCACTACCCTTCATGACGTCAGGGAGTCAAGTAATGAAACGACTGCAATAACTAAGCTCTAAGAGCACCAAGGTCTGCACAGGGATCTTCACTGACAGAAATCAATAGGAGAAACCTCGACAGATATTAGTAGTGTCCATGCTATTCTCCAAGCTACACTTTTAGAACATGTTCCCAAATGTCTAGCTTGATTACAAGAGGACTGTCTTGGTTGTAAAAAGTTGTTGGACAATGGAAGAGGTTGCCACATAATGTAGTCAGTTTTTCTTCAGGTTAGATGATGCCTAAGGTCACTTCCAACTATCTATTCTATGAAAGTGGTTTAATCTTCTTAAATACGGTAATATCCTACACAACTGCAAGCAAATAACTTATCAGGAGCTTTTAGGAAAAGTAATATACGCAAGCAGTATAGCTTAAGAGTTTAACTCACTTCTTGCAGTGAAGAATCTTGTGAAAAGCCAGTTTCTTTAAAATCGATTTCATCATCGCTGGATGAATGAATGTGACAAGTAGTAACCTAGTAGAAAGGCAAGGAGTTCAAAAAGTTAAAAAGTTCCAAATAAATATCAGTTACAAAAATCCATACTAGTTGTCCTTGACTTACAATCGTTCATTTAATGATGGTTTGAAGTTACAACAGTCTTCTAAAATGTGACTTATGATCTGTCCTCAAAGTTACAATTGTTGCACCACCAACTGCACCATGGTCATGTGATTGCAGTTCAGATGCTTGGCAACTGGAGGGCATTTATGATGGTTGCGACATCTTGCAGTCATGTGACTGCAATTTGTGTCCTTCCCAGCTGGCTTCTGACAAGCAAAGTCAAGTGGAGAAGCTGGATGATCATTTGCTTAATGATCGTATCATTCACTTGGGATTTGATTAACTATCTCAGTAAAATGGTGGCAAAAATCATGTCCGATCAAGTGATGTCTTGCTTAACGATTGCATCACTTAGCAACAGAAAATCTAGTTGCAACTGGGGTCGTAAATTGAGGACTACCTTCACAGTAATAAAACTGGGAGTGGGGTGGGGGGAGAATCAAGTATTCCACTATGTAGAAGAATTAATTGAAATATATCCTCACCCTAGCTAACTTGGCTTCAATTGATAAAAGCCTCCCTGGAAGATAGACTTGAAAAAGTTACAATCTACCATTTCTATGAAATTATTGCTAAATTATGATACTTTTATTTTTTAGAATTATTTTTATACTGTTGTAAAAGTATTTTGTTTTGGATACTTCCTCAAAAATAAAGTCCACTTTAAATGTAAATTTTAAAGCTAATCATTACAGACACCACATTTCCCTTAAATTCATACAGATCCTGATAGTGCTCTGCTTGCTACAGTGGACAAAAGTAGCACAAAGAATTAAGGAGTAGACTATTAATTGCTTTTCTTGGGAAATTCAATTCTTGGGCAGATTATAAATAACGCAACATTCAAGATAATAGAGTAACAGAGCTGGAAGGGACTTGGAGGTCTTCTAGTCCAACCCCGTGCTCAAGCAGGAGATCCTATACCATTTCAGAAAAATGGCTGTCCAATCTCTTCTTTAAAACCTTCAGTGATGGAGCACCCTCAAGTTCTGGTAGCAAGCCATTCCACTGATTAAGAACAAACTAACCATTAAACACAACTCAAATTTAAAACAGAATTAGAATTATAGTACTGATCAATATATTTCAGTTACTTCTTGCTACAGGTGCCTATCTTTGTGCACAACTATACAGAAAAATAGTTGGCAGCAATGTTCTGTTCAAGCAGAGATACTTCTCTGCTTTCTCAAGTCATCTTTAGGCCCAAAACCAGCCAAAAACTAGTGGAAGAACACACAGGAAATAGCGACCTAATTAACATTTGACAAAAGAACAAAGAACATAGATTTTTAAGCGGAGGAAAGCAGTTATGTTAAATTCTGCCCTTAAAAAGTATTTGTAATACTCTTGCTTTTACAATAAAATCATTATACCTACAGGGCAGCTTTATTTAATGTATACTGAACAAAATACTTAAACAATCCTATTAACAAATGAAATGTATGTATCTCATATAGCTCAGAGTATAATGGTAAATAGATTAAATAAGAGACTAGGCTTAGAACTGGCACTCTGGATAAACAGACTTAAAAAGTAAGAAATTAATGAACCCAAGGGAAAAATATTAGGTTACAAAACTATTTTTTTGTAACACATAAACAGGAAGTGACCAGTAACCTAGAACCAAAGAAAGAAGGCCTCAGCGCCAATGAAAACCTGAAAGAGTGCAAAAAAAATTAACACAAGTGAAAATTTAAATTCTGTCTAATAAAGAGGGAAGTGAGAATCAGTAGTGTTTAATATCAGTGATTAATATCAGCAAAATGTAGCTGTGATATTTTAAATTTGACATAAAATAGAAATCTCTGAGATATATACTATTATGATTATTATGTGTTGTTTTCATTTTGTAATGCAAAAATTGCAGTTAATGCCATGTTATAAAACCTACTAAGTCGACTGTGTTTCTCTTGTTGGTTTCGCCTAAAGAGTTTGTGCAGAAAGATTCCCATCGTTCCCTGACTTCATCTGGAAGTTCTAGAAAGTCCAAAAAGAAAAAAAAATGCAACATCAAGAATGCAGATTGTCATCATTGCAGGTACTGTAGATTATATGTAATTTTGAATTTTACTAATACATATTATTAAAAATATACACATTTTCCAAGGTAATTAAGAAACTGCTACATTGCATTTGCTATTTATATGCAACAGTATGCAAGATTTTAAATTTCAAGTTATAACTTCAGCAGAGAAATTCTGTTGTGACTATTTCTGTACCTGAACTTAAATTTTTACTCATTGTTCCCAAAGTATCATTCTTACAATGGATACGATACGTTGGTAGATTTAATAGTTCATCATGTTATCTTCATCAACTGATCAACTGATTTGTTCAGCTAGACCAGTGATGGTGAACCTTTTCGTTGTGGTGTGCCAGCACCCACAATGCAATGCGCCATGCCCCCCCTGCACATGCATGCGCAACACCCCCGCCCCACCCCCCCTTACCTGCACACTGCATGCACGCACCTCCCGGCTAACTTTCGGCCCGTTTGAGGCCGGAGGCTCTAGGGAAGTCTCTGCAGCCTCGGATGGCTGAAAACGGGCCTGTTTTGGCATTTCCAGTATTTCCTGAAGGCCCGTTTTTCGGCCTCCCAAGGCTTCCCTTCCTTCCCGAAGGCAAAAAAAGCCTCAAATGGGCCAAAAATCAGCTGGGGGGCATGCACGTGCACAGTGCAGGTAAGTTTGGCTGGGGCTTCTGTGACCACACAAATGGCTCTGCGTGCCACCTGTGGCATGCGTGCCATAGGTTCGCCATCATGGAGCTAGACATTAGTATGTAGAAAATTAATCAATTGACCAGTCAAACAGTTGCCAAAATTAGATAACTTGTTTTGCTTGTTTCATCATCAAAATCATTATTAAATCATAATTTAATTTTATAACTAGACATTTGCTATTGAGTTTTAACTGGCAAATGTAGCAAATAATGGGCTTCTGAAATTAGTTGCCTTCTATCACTGTTGACAATTCCAGAACCGGAGCAGAAGATTTTAGGATGTAATTTTAAACCCTAGTAGACTTGATTAGTTGACATAAAAGTTCATGAAACACTAGGTTTATAAAACATTCTCACATTATAATGAAACTACAATTTGAAACAAGAAAATTGGAGTACCACTACCATGCATATTATCCAGACTTCCTTGAAAAGCTGAAACAAAAGATTTTTTCCAGAATAATGTGCTTTTCATTAACTTTGTTTAATAAACGGCATAATTGGTAGGGCCAAGGACAACTTCTGAACTTTGTTCATCATAAATAAATGGTAAGGAATGATCGGTTTTAAAACAAAACATAGCTTTTTGGAACAGTTCTGAATGTATGCAGGAGGTATACATTTCCTTCTTCTCAAGACACCTTTGTGTTTACTCATGCGCATTTGAAATTTCTGTCTCTTGTGAGAGATTCACAGTTCTATGTCACATTGGAAGTTTGGTGTAGTGGTTAAAGTGTCAGGCTTAAAACCAGTAGACTCCTGAATTTATACCTTAAATACAAAGCCAGCTGGGTGACCTTGAGCTAGCTCTGTGCTGCAGAAAGCAGGCAGTAGCAAACAACTTTTAAAATAATGCCAAGAAAACTGCAGGTACTAGTCACCAGGAGTTAACATTGACTTGAAGGCATCAAAATAAGCAAGCAAACAAATAAATCCTGTATTATTTGAATTAATTATTCATCTTTCACAATAAAATGTAACCTCTGCAAGTGTCCAAAAATCAAGCCAGGCAGAGGACACATGGAAAATATCTTCTATTTTTGGCTTTTTGTGTGTGTGTTAAACAAAAACTCCTGAGAAGTAATTTTAAACCTCTTCATCTGAACTCTGTTACAAAACATCATGCAATTATTAGTTGAAACATGTCTTTACATTATTAATCTGAAGCCACTGAGAGTAAAAATCAAATGGGTCAAATCTGACGTTTGCTAAGTTATCACACTTAGAATACCTCAGATCCTATGAACTTTTAAGAAAGGACACGAGAAAAATGAGATAGCAGATATAGAAAAAATGATGGTAAAAGGAGCCTGTGAAAATGTGAATTCCATTTATACAAGACTCAGTAAGAAAAAATACAATGGATTACCTTTAATAAGTTGCTGCACCAGTGTACAGTTGGGTCCTTTATCAGTACTATGCACAATGCAATTTGCTATTCTTGTTAAGTGACCCATGTAACCATACCGTCTTCCTCCTTCAGCTCTGCAAGAGTTAAACTTAGTTATTCAATCTGAAAAATTAGTTAATTATGGGATTTTCATTTTATGGACTTGTAGAAAATGGAATCAAAACAAAGGCTGATTCAAGCAGCACCGAATAGAATAATAGGTCAGTTAAAGACTAACAACTGCATGCCGAAGTTCATTAGCCTTAAGTTGTTTTATTATTGTTGTTGTTGTAACCTGCAGCATTATGTTGCTTAATTTATGATTTATTCTAGAATTGCAAATTTAGTAAGAAATTCAAATATATTGTGCAAAACTTGGAATTATGATAAAATATGAGAGCTTAATCCCCAACATAAACATCTTGTGCATTCTTAAACAACTAAGTATTTAAACAGCATTCTGCATTAAAACATATTCTTTTGGTTTAGTTTCAATATACATTTCTTCTATGGGAAAGATGGCCAAAACATAGAGAAAAAAGTGCACAAAAGTAGGTGTTTAATTAAAGCAAATATAATAATGAGTGCAAATAAGGAGAATTAACGTTATCTCTTCTCATGGAGGGATCTCATACCCTAAAAAATCATAGAAAAAGAGATATATGAAATTCAAAAAGAGATATATAAAATTGCTAATTAAACTTAGGATATAAGTCAATGTGATACTTATACTGCATCTTAAAAGTACAAAGTTTCTGACTACTCACTGTTTCTTTTCATTCATATCCCATGCTTCAAGTATTCGTTCTATTAAATGGCACTTAAGGAAAAGCTATAAAGAAAAAATTTACTTAGTTTTGTAGAAGAATTTTTTTTAAAAAGATCAAATATTAAAAAGAGCTATTTACCACACCAGTGACTGGCTAGCTACCAAACTGTACAGTGCAAAAAAGCACTATTTTTCTAACACATACACACACACACACACACACATATAAGCACACTCTCTCTTCAACCCTGCAATGTTAATGTTTTATGAAAACAATAAAGATTAAACTCAAATTAACTGCATGCTGCAATGGTATTATGTGTTCTCTCCTCAAGTAACTGCTTAATTGCTTATTGTACCCTATGACTATCAGTAAGTGTTGTACCTGATGATTCTTGACCCTTGATGAAAGTATCTTTTCTTTTATGTACACTGAGAGCATTTGCACCAAGACAAATTCCTTGTGTGTCCAATCACACTTGGCCAATAAAGTATTCTATTCAATTCAATTCTATCAACTGTTAAAAGCTTTTAGAGGGAGACAAGATTTTGGAGGGCAAATCATTTCTATATAACCTGACAAGACAAACTAGATGCAGTGTTTAAGAATGGGAAATAATAAGCAAGGGTATTTCTTGCATTTCTGCTTTCATCCTTGCTATAAAACCTCTGTTAAAAAATAAGAGGTACATGAAGTCTGGAGTGGAGAAGTCATTTTATACATTAGAATCCTATTAAAATATAATGCTAGCATGTGCTTCATTATCCTGCCACTCACTTATTATAGTTGTAAAAAGTTCTCAAAGAGAGTTGAAATTATTATTTAGTTAGAGAACTTACTACCATTGTACCTAAGTGCAGCAATATTTAAGAACAAAGCAAGAAAATATCTTACGTGTTTCAGCAAAAGATTGCTTCTAGTGGGATCTGGATCTGGGACTGTACCATTTTCTGTGCTTTCAAAAGGACTTGCAAGAATCAGTGCAATACAAATTTCTACTTGAGTATGTAAAAAATTGTTCCATGTGTATTTAAAAAACATGTCCTACAAGAGAAAAAGAAACAAGAATCAGAAGTATCCATACCACTTACTAAACATGTTTCAGTATTTTCCCCCTCTGATAAAGTGATTTTAAAAAATGTTCTTTCTCTTCCAGATACTCTTTGTAATAATGAAGGAAGCTGAACTCAGGTTTGCCAGAAGCAGCAACAGAAATCCTAACCATCCTTTTTGTCAGAACTTCTTTCCCATAAGGATTATGGAGTGTGTGTGTGTGTGTGTGTGTGTGAGTGTGTAAAAGCATATATTCAGTTAGGCCCCTCACGAATGTTGATTAAATGACGATATATTGAGTATGAATGTTTGCATTACATACATCAGCTACTAGCAATCAATTGGCTAGAGCAGGGGCATGAAACACGCAATAGGCTGCGGAGTTGGCCCGGAGACGGCAAGGGACTGGTCCCTGCCACTCTGGGCCAGGGCACGTGCATCCATTCATCCATGACAATCAGGCCACACCCCACCCTGGCCCCCCAATGGCAAACAAAATCCCGACACAGCCTGAGACGGGATTGAGTTTGACACCCCTGGGCTAGAGCAATGGGGGGGGGGGGAAGACTTGAAGTATTTTTGAGCCAAGGTTTCTGGATAATTAGCCTTTGGGTGGGGCTAACAACTCACAGAAAAGCAACAAGTTGTAATATTTTAGTTATTGTTAGCTGCTCTGAATTGGCCAAAATATATAAAAGGAGGGAAATAATAATAATCAACTGGGTCTTTCAAACAGACAACCATCTGCCAAATTACAGCCCAGACTTAACAACTGTTGGTAAGAAAGACAAAAGAGACTGGATGGTGCAAAGTGCAATACATGGAGACAGCACAACAGAAGAGAAAGAACAGGAGGGAATCACAAAGTATGAAGACCTGCAAACAGAATGATTGTGCAGAAAAAAACAAACAAACATAGTACTAACAGTAATAGGTGTCTTGAGTACAATTCCAAAATACATTGAGCACCACTTGAATAGCATCAGCACTGACAAAATCACCACCATTCAATTGCAAATGGCAACTTAACTTGGAACAGTTTACCCCTTGTGAAGATACCTTAACATTATTAAACAACATCTGCCTATTCCTGGTCTTTGGGAAGGACTTCATAGGTAGACAAAAATGTGAAATCTAGTCTAAATACCTGGCTGACTGTGCAATCAACCATAATAAGTGTGCCATGTGATCTCATATATGTACAGTACTCATTTGTGCAAGTCACACAGGGATGTCAAATTCAAGGCCTGGGGCCAAATCTGGCCCATGGGGTGCTTAGATCTGGGCCACAGGCCCACCCTGGAAACAGTAAAGGCCTGGCTCATGGTTCTTCTGCTAGGGAAAATGAAGCTCAGGAGCTGCTGCCCCCTCCAACTGTTTTCGCTGGTAGAAAGGTGCAGGAGGCTGCTGCAGCTGAAACTGGAGCTCACAAGGGCCATGTGCCCCCCCCCCCCAGCTCTGTTTTCGCTGGCAGGGGGTTGCAGGAGGCCATTGCAGCCGAAAACAGAGCTCAGGAGCCATTTTAACTGGCAGAGCACTTGGGCCACCGTAGGTGCCCAACATGAGTGATGTTATGCTGGCCACACTCACCTTGGCCCTCTGAGGTCAAACACAACCCTGATGCAGGCCTCAATGAAATTGAGCTTGACATCCCTGAAGTAGCATCTCTGAGGAGCTTACAGAGGGAAGGCACTGACATTTTTGTGAGTAGGGATTTCTATATCCTCAGAGGGATAAAATACTTAGATAAAACCCAAATTCAGCTGAGTTTAAAGAAGAAAAAATGTTCCAATACTGTTTCCAAATTCAGACTACATGTCCATTGTGTGCCAATTCTTTTCATTCCATTTAATATGAAACAATAAGATGTACAGGATATAGTCCTTCAATTAGAATAATTCTGTGGCCAATCAATACATCCACGCTTTTCTCCTAGATACACTTTTCTGGAGAGCTTGCTTTGGGATTTTTAAGATTAAAAAAAATTCTGGTTATTCTTTTTTCCTGCAACTATATTTGATAATAAGAGATTATATTATTTGAACAAAAATGTGCACTGCAGAAAATATTATGACTGCATCTTCTAATCTGAAATGGAATCATGAAAGTGTAAACTTGTTCGGTATGGCCTCTCAATTTTTTTTTTTTTAATGAATTTTTCAATCATCAAGGCTAACTTTTTAAATAAAAATATCCCAATTTCCCCCGCACTGCAGGGAATAAGTGTAATACAATATATGGTTACTGTTGTGACCATTCTCCATGAGTTACATATAGGTAGTCCTGGACTTCAGGGACACTGTGAAGACTGTTTGAGAACCAGTCATAAATATATCTCGTTCAGAACTGTCATAAGTTTGAATGGTCACTGAAGGAGTGGTCCCTAATCAAGGGCCACCAGTAATCCAGCTGAGATTGGGGGTTGAGCCCAGAGGCTGTGTAGTCTGGCACCCGGGAGTCAAAAATACTTCTGTTTTTATCTTTCTTTTAATAGATGGTTGTGAGCCTCCTAGAACCATTGCATGAAATAGACGGTCATATAAATCCTGTAAGTAAGTAAATAAATATATCTAAAAATATGTATTTTCTTACCAGTATTACTCCTATGCTGTTGAGCTCTATAAGTTCCTGGTTGACATTGTTCGTATTTGTCTGTAGAAGACTGGATATTAACCTAATCACATTTAACCTAGTATTCCCTACTGGTGGATCCAGTACACCCCATGTTGTCTTCATAACACTTTTCTAAACAAAAAGAAGAACACAACATTTAAAATAGAATTCCAACTCCAGAAGAAATATTTAAGTAACAAGAACATAATTCTGTGTTTAGCAAAATGCTTGTGTAATTTTATTTGAAGGGTTATTTTTTATATTTTTACGTTCTGGAATACTGAAAATATTTAAGTTGACTACAGCGTTTTCATAAGTTGTCAACAACAAAAACCTCTCTTCCAAATACTTATGGTTGTACTTCTATTACAAAGGAGGATTTATTATTATTTATTTATTTTAAAGTCAAACTCACAACAAACCAAACTCAAAGATCCTTTCCCAGTCATTTGATTTGCAGGGCCTTTGGAGAATATAAACTGGGGAAATATATTTGTTGTTTTCCTTTTCTTATATATGTGTAAGCACTAGGAAGGGAATTAAAAGTTTTGCTTTCTCTAGACTGCCACTATTAAAGAAAGGAGGTGCAACAGTTTAGCCAGTTGTGCTGAAAACCAAAAGACAATAGAGAGAGTTATGTAACAGAGTAGAAGTCATATTCCCAATTGCCTAGAAAATTGAAGCGTGCTTTGAAGTGGATGTCCCAATTCCATTACTGAAAAGGGCGTTTGTCTTACCTGAACGCCTGTTCTCCTTGCAGGTTATAGAGGCCAGGCATGGGTTAACTCTGTCTCCGAGCTGATTTGGACTGAGTCTGTCGAACATGGGCCAATGCTGCTCACCGAAAATTATGACCTTCACAGCGGAGGCCCAAAAACGGCCCCATGGCGTATCAGCGGTTTCGCAGCTCCGCTAAACAGCTGAGAAGCGGAGCCCCATTTTAAAAAACTTTTTTGGGGCATCTTCTGAAGGTTTCGTTTGCAAAGCAATGGAGAGGCAAGAAAACTATGTCCATCTTAGCTGAGGACTGAGTCGAAAACTGGGGAGTGGCCAGCAACAGAGCAGAGCTAAGCTAAGCAGCTTTGATAGACTCAGTCCAATCAGCTAGGAGACAGAATTAACCCATGCCTGGCCTCTTGTAACCTAACAAGGGAGAACAAGAGAACTTCCTCCATACATCCATAATAATTCCATACATCTAAGATTTCTGAGATCTGGCAATGCAAAGAAATATCTGCACAAACCATCTGAATATGTGCCTTTAAACAACTGTGTAAAAGTCACGGATGTCCAACCTTTTGGCTTTCCTGAGCCTCAATGAATGAAGAGGAAGTGTCTTGGGCCGCACATAAAATACATAATATAGTTAATGTATAAGAAGAGATTACGTTAAAAGTTTACAATCTTGTGGGGCCGCCATCACTAGTTGTCCAGGCAGCCTTGGGGGCCACAGGTTGGACATACTTGGTTAAGTAATAAAAACAAGGAAGTTTAAAATAGCTAACCTAAAAAAATCAAGATCAAAATATATCAAAGCCAAAACATGAGAATGTTCATGTAATACCTCAATATTATTAAAGGATGATGAAAATAATTAGTTCTATAGAACAGAGCCTACAGCCAAAATAGTGAAACGAAATAATTTTCTCTCATGACTTCATCTCTATATTCTGTGGCAAAAGGGCATAAAACAGAATTCCTCCTAATATTTTAATTGCAACCACAAAGATGCAACCATTTTAATATATCTAGCTCAAGTTGTGTGAGATTTAAAACAGTAACCAGTGTTTTGAACTGTTTATTTATATATATATTAAGTATACCCTCTCTTTCATTCAGGAGCTAAAGGCAGCATATATGGTGTTTCCACCTGCTATTTTTCTCCACAATAACCTTGTGAAGTACACTGGGGGTTGAGAGACAATGAGTGCCCCAAAGTCACCCAAAGAGATTCTATACTGGAGGTGAACTAGACAGATCAGGGTCTTTTTGCTTGCAGTCTAATATTTTAATCTCTATACCACACTATACCACTCTAAGTAAAATTAGTACAAATGTATAATAACATTTTTCAAAAACTTCTTCCTCATCAAAATCTAGCTTGTATAATTATTTTTATCAGCTAAAGTTCTACATTTTTGCAAACACAGCCCAAGATAGAGATACATTAACTTGCGTTGTACAAAAGCAATTCTACTTATTAGCAATGGCGGGATTCTAAAAGCAACAGGAAATCCAGTAACATTCCCAAACTGCAGGTAGTTTTTGTTTAATGATTATAATTGAGATTGGGATTTCCATTGCTAAGTGATGTGCTCATAAAGCAAAATGTTGCCTGACTAAATTAGTCCCATTGACACCAGTAAGTGGGGAATCATGGGTTGTAAAGCGAGAACTTGCAACTTCCTGCCAGCTTCCCACAAGAAGTCACAAGTCCTGGGTAGTTGGCAAATTGGCTGATGAGTAAGTGGTTACTGCGGTTGAGAACACGATAGCGCCAGGATTAGCTACTGCCAATTGAAGAAGGATGCGCCAAAGGAGTGTTTGCAGCCTTTCCTGTTGGCTTCCCCATTGATTTTGTTTGTGGGAAACTGGGCAGGGAAGTCTTCAAGTGCCTATCATGTGACCACGATGCTGCTGCAACCACTGTAAGTGTGAGCTAGTTGTTAAGTACTCAGACCGCAATCATGCAACTGCAGAGCTCCTAGGATGGCTGGAACTTCAAGGACCAGGAACTTCAAGGACCACTCATTGAGAGCCACTTTAACATTGAATAGTTGCTGAAGGAGAGGTCATTAATCAAGGAGTGAATGTATACACTCAATTCTTCAGTGCAATTAAACCATATCAAAGAACAGACTGAACTATTACCCATTTATGAACAACATAATGTGCTTTGGAATGTTAAGCTCAGATATAATTGGGTAATCCCTTATTAACAAAATCATCAATCTGTTTAAATGGACTCTCAGACTAGGTACAAAAACACGCAACTACTAGTCATTACAGAAGCCCACCTACATTGGAACCAAGATAAAGAAATAGTGGAAGCTTTGAATCAACTTCCAGTGGAGGTAGTGGACCAATCATCAGTAAGTCAGTTTAAATATGCCTGGGATAAATATATGTCCATCATCTGACAAAAAATAAAAATACGTAAAATATATAAAAATATTTTTAAAATATAATAATAAATAAAGCACATAAAAATAATAAATAAATAAATCAGAAAGAAAAAGAAAACCAAATAAACTCAAAGGGCAGACTCAATGGACCACTGGGTCTTTTTCTGCTGTCAGTTTTCTATGTTTCTAAGTACCCCTCAAGTGAAAGATACAGGTGAACACTAGGGGCCAAGTCATTTGCTGAACCCTTGGATCTGGTACCTATGCCTTTGCTGGGCAAGACAAGGGGGCAATATTCATTCTTGTGAGAGCCTCTGGGCTTTGTAAAGAATAAACACTCCATTTTGAAAGCTGGATCTTCAGTCAAAGAGGAAGGAAGCAACAAATGAGAGGGATCAAAACAACACTGATGAAGGCCTCGCTCTTGTGCTGCCGTGTATGTTGTTTTTGAAAACTTTTCAGAATATCCTCAGTCCTAATACTGAACTAGCCATCTTCATCAAAGAGACAGTCTCAGTTTTAACCTTGGCTTCTAGAATAAGTCTACTAGAGAAGAGTGCTACACATGACAACAAAGAGTAGTGGTGAACAGTAAAACCTTAATTCCCAAATCAGTAACATAACAAGCCAAACTATGCTCTTGTTTGGCAAATCATGGTGCTTCTGTCTGAAGATCCTGAACAATCTGGTTCCAGACCAGCAAACATGATAGGAATAGGAATATTTTCTCCCTCACAAAGGGGCAGCACTTTTTAAAAGCTATCCAATGCTTGGCAACTTACAGAGGGGAAGAGTACTCTCAGAGGATATAACTTGCAGCCAAGATTGTCCAAAATCCGGCCCTCGTTATTTTTACATAAAGAAAGTTGCTTATGTGGAACTTGTTTGAGGTGCTGTAGTCACAGAGTTGACTCTAAAGAAGCTACACAGAAACACGTATTAAACTTGGGAAACAGAGAAAGCCTCAGAAAGACTTCTTCCCAATTCACCTAAATATAAAAAAGAAAGTGGGGAAGCTCAATTACACTCTTAAGATTCTATAGTCTACAGGAAAAGGTCAACTTATAATCATAACTGGGAACAGAAATCCAGTTGTTATGGCCATAAATCAAGGCATCTATATTATTAGAGGTACAGATAATTTTTTGGCCTTTTTTGCAGTATTCATTAAGCACTGCAATTGCTAAGCAAACCCATTCATGTGAAAGAGCATTTTTACCAGAAACCAGCATATACATCACAAATAATGGTCACTTGCTCATACAATAGGGTCATAAAACTGACTGACATGTGGTTACATAATCCCCAGGAAGGAGCATTTGTGACCAGTAAAACTTGTAGTCTGTTTCCTGATCTAGCCTACCCTGAAGGATTAACAGATTCCTCCACAATAATGGAAGGTATCAAAATAAGAGGTATCAGAACTCTTTTACTCTCTAACAATTTTTCATGCAGAAATAGACCTGTTGTCCCCAAGAAGATTAGAAGCATAAAAATTAGGACTGAAGAAACAGTACAGTACTGCACCAGCTGATAAACCAATTCACAATCTGAGAAAACTGCTGAGTTTTCAAGCCAAGAACTGCATTACTAAACAACAGCAATAGCACTCAGACTTACATATCCCTTCACAATGCTTTCCAGCCCTCTCTAAGCGGTTTACAGAATCAGCTTATTGCCTCTAACAATCTGGGTCCTCATTTGACCGACCTTGGAAAGGTGGTAGGCTTAGTCAACCTTGAGCCAGTCAGGATCGAACTCCTGGCAGTCAGCAGTTAGCCTGCATTCCACCAACGGTTCACAAATCAACACATGGACATAAATCTTCAGGACCAGTCTTTCAGAAAGCTCATTTATCAAATGATTTCTTCAGTGCTATTGGGAATGTGACCTGGGATGTGTGTGCGCGTGGGTGTTCAAGTCAGGTATTTATTCCTGGCAACTATGTGGCCAAGCCTCTACAGGTTCTTGACAATGTTTTTTGGAAGTGATTTGCCACTGCCTACTTCCTAGGGCTGAGAGAGGGTAACTGACCCAAGATCCCTCAGCTCCTTTGTGCCTAAGACAGGACTAGAACTCTCAGTCTCATGCTTGTAGCCTAGTATCTTAACTACTATACCAAAATGGCTCCCAATGCAACACAGAGCTGTGACTTCTTATAAGAGACAAAAAGTTCAACTGTATCTGAGAAAACACAAGTGCGCCTCCTGGAAATTTCTGAAAAATGGCAAAAACTTTGGAAAACCAAGGAGCTATAAGAATCTTGGGACTGGCAGCTCAAAGAACTAATTGTCAAGGAGTGGCTTATAAATGGGATAAGCAATTGCAGCTTGACAATGCTGCAGGTATCTAAAACATAACCTTCCCCAAGATAGAAAACAAAACAAAACTGCCTGTCCACTTTGCTTGTCTGTATCAACTAACCAAAGATTTTGGCTCTAGCTCTGCTACTGCTTTCCTTTTCCTCACTGGTCCATTGGTAGGGTAACCTAATATTAAAACCACAAATACAATTAATTCTATTGATAAAGTTGAGAAAAATCTGGTAAGACTAATATTTTTTGAGCTTATTTGACCATAGAGACTGTGGTTATGAATTATTTATCAATCTAGTGTTTTAAGTGTAGAAATCACAGGCAAAACCTAAATATAAGCAAGACCATATTTATGATGGCAAGGTAAAGACAGCGAACCATAATAATTAATTTTTGACTTGTTCAGTTATGTTTTGCCCAATTCCAGCGAACACCAGTTCCTCCATTCTGTAAAATGCAGCCAGTCTGAAGGAGGCAATGGTGCAGAGAAGTAAAAGAAGTTTGCACTTCCTATTCCTTTCATATCTTCCTAGCTACAGCCACACTAAGTGGAGGAATACTTACTTATTTATTTTGGACATTTTTCAATCCTGTTGGATATCCAAAACAAAGTGTAAGTAAAATATTTAAAAGGCTGTGAAAAAAACAAGTAACACTGACAAAAATGAGTTGAGATGGGGAGCAGCCCTTACCCTCTTCCTCTAGCTATCATTCACCTTCATGCTAGTTTTGAATTTCAGCATCCCATTATGGAACTTTTATGGTGCCAATATCTGAGTTAGGCAGATCTTTCAAATACCAGAAAGGAAGATAGCAAAATGGGAAGAGGAAGGTATAATTTTTTTATTTATAAAATTTATATTGCCGTCTATTTGCACATGATGACTCAAGGCAGCTTACAGAACATAAAAGCACAAAAGAAAATAAATAAAAATAATTTAAAAATAAAATAACCCTCTCACCCCACACTGGCGACAACACACATTCATACCAGCCATTTAATGGGCTCCATCCTTCTCTGGGTAACCCAGGCCCACTGGCAGAACCACATCTTCAGGGCCTTCCAAAAGAGTGTGGAGGCCAGTCTAATTTCCAGAGGAATGCTGTTCCAGGGGGAGAGCCACCACGGACGAGGCCCTTCTTCTGGGTCCCACCAGATGTATCGTCTTAGGGGACAGGACCTGCAACATTCCTTGCCTCCTCACTCTAATGGGTCAGATATATGTGACCGGCAAGAGACGGTCCCTCAGATAATCTGGTTCCAATGGAATCAACCCTCAACTAGTTTCTTCCAGCTGTTTTCTCCCATGCTTGGAAGACGTGGAGGTTCTTTCAGGGGAGTCAAGGAAAGGGAATAGCTACAAGCCATGATTCTTTACAAAAATGTAACATTTCATTGTGTGTCCCCCCCCCCCCCCAAGTAGTTTCACCTGTACCTCCTCAGCCCACTTAAATTCACAGCCCTAAAACAAAATCTAAGGAAAACAAACATACCTAGCTACCCACGTAATACATACACAGATCTGCTGGTTAAGTTCTAAGAAAACCTGCGCTTCTGTTATATGAGCATAGCTAAAATACCACCAGTAATCTGAATCAGGATTATGTTGATGTATACAGCCTTACAGAAAGCTAAGCCAAGATGTCACCCTACAGAAGAGAATTCATTTTCAGATTAAGCAAGATGGCACATATATTCTTCCTCCCAAAGTCACAAAACTGAATCTATTTTCACCGAGTTGGGTGTTTTCCTTACTTTGGGGGGTTCCAGAAGCAGTTCGTGGAAAGATGCAAGTCGTGCTTTTATGGCTTCTAATACACTTTTATTGACCGAGTATGTTGAGTGGCTCATACCTGGAGGACAAATCTCTATGTGACCTTCAAATCTGTAACACATACATAAAAAGAAAAATGTTTGCCTATTAATTCAGCAAGCAAGGCTACTGAAAGATTATGTCTACCATCAATACTATCTAGCACAAGCTTTTTCAATTGCAAATTCAACTCATCTTTTCATCTACAGAAAACTGCTCATCACAATGTAAGAACCATTCAACCTTTTCTAGAGATCAAAGCAATATTTTAAACAATGAAGTGAGCTCAAAGCTTTGTTGCATTATATAAAGCATTTATTGGCTATTCCAAATAGTAGGTTAATGCTTAACATAATTCATATTTGCAGCAATGTATTACACCCCCTTGATTAATTCAATTACGTTGTCATGGAAGAAGTACACATAAATATTAGTTTTAAAATATGTATGGCAGCCTGCGGGCTCACTACCATAAAGCATTGCTGTATTATGAACAAGAAATCTGTGGCTGTATTCAAAATAACTGGCTCAGTACCAGGATGAACAGAAGATCTGTTATCATTATCAATTTTACTTGTTCATTCCCTTTTGATACCTGGAATTGAACAGATCAAATAAGAATTATCAGAACAATATTGGTCCAGAATGTTTCTGTGTACATAAGAGTATCATTATATCTGAAGAAGGAGGTATAAGTAAATATAACCATAACCAAATAGCTACTAAAAATTAAGAATATCATTAGAATAGAAAGATAAAAAATTAACTTACGTTGGCCGTCTTGTTTCCAGTAAAGTCAGTAATATCTGAATTGCACTGACTATTGCAGATTCATTTTTCTCTTTATTAAAAATATTTGATAGCAGCTGTTCTATAATTTCTTGTCTATAATAAAAAGATAATGCTTGAAATATACCTTTTAGTAGGTAGATAATTTCAAAGAAAACAGTTGTAGTTTATTTTGAAAAATTCTTTATACAAAGTCTAGGCAATTATTTTTACTTCAAATCTAATTCTTACAGTTGCAGGAGAAAGTTGTGTGGATCTGGATTCTTACTTTTGTAGTATAAATAGTCCTCGACTATGACCACAACTGGGGCCAGGACTTCCATCGCTAAGTAAGGTGTTTGTTAAGTGAGTTGCACTCAATATTATGACCTTTTTTTGTTGCTCCCGTTAAGCAAATCAATGCAGTTGTTAAGTGAATCACAAAGTCTTTAAGTGAATCTAGCTTCCTCCAATGAATTGTCCTAGCTTGTCAGAAGTCAGCTAGGAAAGTCACAAATAGTATTCATGTCAGCTTTTGGGGTGGGGGGGTGGGGGGGGGGGTAGTGTTTGCAATCAAAAATACATGTCAGTGGCCAAATACCATAATTTTGAACCTAGGGATGCTGAGATGGTTGTAAGTGTAAAGATGGGATGTAAGTCACTTTTTTTCAATGCCATTGTAACTTTGAATGGTTGTAAGTTGAGGACTACCTGCACTTTGATATATATACAAGACAATCTAAGCCTATATTATGAGTGTGTCCAGGCAACCAAATCCTTCTTCTACATGTCTAAATGTAATACAAATTCTTACTCTCTTGTAAAGGTTAACCTTATTTAATATTTTTAAATAAAATATATTTTTGCCTAATATTACAAATATTACTATTATACATAAAATGTGTGAGTCACCTGTTTAAAAAAGTACATTGTTATAAATACAAAGGCTGAGGTCAGATAGATTTCACATCTTTATTGTCAATGCACAACATGTGTACAATGAGATTGGCTGAGATTCCCTTAGTGCAACCCCCCCAACACAATACATCTCAAAATTCACAGTGAAAGAAAATCCCTAACCCAGTAAATCATACTAACACACAATCCTCTATACATATATGTTATGTCTCCTCTTGGAAATTCAAACGAACAAACACAAAGCAGCTGTTTCACAATCAAATCAAACTGTAGGAAATAACAAGATAACGGCTGGCAGAAACTGTTAGGACTCCCCTTCAAAATTCAAACAAACAGAGATCTCTTTGCAGTAACGTCCTCATTCAAAATAGACATTTTGTTTCTGGCGAAAGGCACCAGCTCAGCTGTGTCCTTTTATATCCATTAAGGCAACGTGCTAATTAACTGGCTTGCCCTTCAGATTAACGTTTCCTGGTTCTGACGTCAATCCACGATCTAACAGTCATCAGATTCAAAACTCCTAACAGGACCGATCCTTCCAATCACAACACATATATGTGCGTAAGTACATTATAATATATTGCATCAGTGTGAAAATGTTGCACGTTGCGCCAGCCCTGCAAGTCTATCATACTACATAGTTATGATGTTGTGTTGCATTCAGGAGTCTGACAGCCCATGGATAAAAGCTGTTCTTCAGCCTGTTTGTACGACTGGCTATGCTTCTATATCTCCTACCCGAAGGTAGGAGAGTGAAGAAGTGCTGCCCAGAGTGTGAGTCATCCCTTCTAAGGCAGTGAGTCCTAGTGATTTCATCTAGTGGTGTCAGGGGACAGCTCATGTTTTGTGCTGTGCTCATCACCCTCTGTAATGTCTTATTGATATATTATTGATATATCACGAAGTTGTGTTTTGACATTATTTTTATTTTTATTTAATGTGGCCATCTATCTTACGTAAATAACACAGTGGCTCACAATAAAAAAGAATAAAAATCACATGAATATAAATATAGGCATAATGAACAAAATATAAAAAACGAGGCACCTTATACGTATTCTTCAGTGACAAATTCACCTATGTCAGGCTTTACTAACCACCTGCCCTAAGTCCCTGTGGGTTTACATAGCCTTTCAGAAGGCCATGAGATCAGGACCATGTGGATGGGGGGATGCTATTCCAATGCAAAATGTACATCTCCTGGTTTCCACAAGATGCCACTGTTTCCTTGATGAACAGGAAAGTGGGCTTGGGAAGTATACCACTTTGCTCCATCTGGTGGGATAGATAAAACAATTGGAGACAATGGTTCCAACAAGTAACCTGGCCCTGTGTCATATAAGGCTTTAAGGTGATAACTAGCGCCATGATTTGTATCGCAAAGCATAGGAAAGCAGTAGAGCTGAGGCAACGAAGACATTACATAAGTGAATGAATAAAACCCTATGCTATCATGTGTCTTGAATTACTTTTCTAAGAATTACTTTTCTAAGAATGGGAATACCATATTTGCTATTTAGAGCTCTAAATATTGTTTTTATTTCTTTACTGCTTGCTACAACTTATATGGACACACTTACGGTTATAAATATCTCTGTTCTTCCTTTCAGAAGGAATAAATTTATAATTTCAAAACCCATAGAGAATATGGTTGTTTAAAAGTAAAGTAATATCTTTACACCAACCTACTTTTCTAGTGTTGCAAGCAGTGGATCTGGTTCAGAACTGTTTTGTACTTGTAGCATCTGGTCTCTACTCAAACGTATAATTTCACAAAGTGACTGGGATGCATTTGACTGTCTCTGAAGAACAAGAGAGAATTTATAAAGGGAAAAGAAAGCTAAACAGTTTTATTTGCTAGTTAATACCAGAAACAATTTAACACAGATTCACTATTTTGTAGAAGGCACAATTATACTTTAAGTAAGTGGATTAGGATGTTTCCTCAGTCCTGTAACTGCAGAATCCACTATTTTAATGTACTCATATAATTAAGTATACAGTGAAGAAAATTTAAACTCTATAAGCAGAATACAAGTAAAGTAGTATATAATACTAAATATGAATTGTAAAATAACTTCCTTACATCTTCATCTTGAGAAGGATGCACGATTTCCACAAGCCGCTGAATAATTTTCTCTTCATTTAGCCACTGTAGAGACATATGGTAAATTTTTTTAAAAAAAAAATCACCTTCCAGAATTAAGACTAAATATAATTATTGCATAATCCACCCACTGGTGCTATTTAAACACTAAAGTGCATTCCCAAAAATTCTAAGATATTCAAAATTTGCAGAAAGGAAACTACAAGTACTGTCAGGGAGTATAGCATGCTATGTATTTACTTTGTTATACAATTACATCATAAAACAGCTCATTCTTATACACCTTTGAAACAAGATAATAATAAATTATTTAAGAAATAAATTATTTTCTACTTATGTAAGCCTACATAACTAAATCAACAGTTCAGAGACCTACAGTAAGTCAAGCCTGTCAGGTGATAAGGATACATATTATTTTTACATTTTCTGTAGATTTGCAGTCAGGTTGGTATTACCTTTCAATACATTGTCAAGAGACCACCAACTGCATTCTGCCCTCACTTAATACAGCAAAAATGGTTTTAAAGGGAAAATTTGATATCAAAATGAAATAAACACAAGGGATAAAATACACAGGATTTGGAGAGATGTATAAGACATGAAAAAACCCAATATAGATGGGGATGCAAAGAGGCAGAAGAAAATATTTAGCATCACCTGAAATGACTAAAGAAGGGGAAATTATTCAAAGGCCTATGAAGAAGGTAAAAAGAACAGATGGGAGGGCACCAAAATTTTAAAATAAATTTAAGTTGATTATATGGTGTTTTCTCATAGTCAAAAGAGCACTTTCCAAAGTCTTCAATTGCAAAGATCAACAGTATTGCCTTCTTTACAACAGCAATTCTTGGGAGAACCTGCAGTTTCATATACATCCTAATTTTAAATTTGCACAATTTTCTCCAAACTCCATAAAAGAGTAAATGTAGCATCATCAGTTGATTCTTTTCTCTCCTTGCATTTCTTTTTGGTTTGTTTGCCACTATAAATCATTAAGAGTTTGAAGAATTTGAAACAGTAACTGTTGTTAAGTTTAAGTGACCTAATAAATGTATTATTCAGATATGGATTTTGAAACAGAATAAATTACTTACATTTAATACTTCTTGCCTCGGCTGTGGAGGTTCTATGCATGTCAGTAGCCTGAGTAATAAGTCCATAATAGCAGAGGTTCCTATGTGCTTTATTATGAGATCTACAAAATCATGCTTTTTCTTTAAGAAATCCACAATCTGGAAAAATATGAACAGGTATTAATAGAATGTTCTAAAACATTTTGAATCCAACAAAGCATAACAAGAAAATTCTGAAGAAATTGCTGGTATCAATTTATAAATTATTGAATTTGCTGAATGTTCATTTATAACATTCAATATATTATGATGGGTATTTTTTACTAAATACTGTTGTGAGGTATCTTGTACATACCCAAAATGTCAAAAAAAAATTTCTAGTCCATGCTCCCCATTTTTTTCTGAACAGGCAGAAGATTTAAAACAAAGCACGGGACACTTGGGATTTTTTTTTATTTTTTATTTTTTTAAAAAAATATTCAATTACTATAAGTAGCTTATGAGACTGGCATATTTTTCAGATTGAAAATTATAGCAAAGGCTCATGATTAATTCTGGATCTCTCTGTGTGTGTGTGTGTGTGTGTGTGTGTGTGTGTGTGTGTCATTCAAGTCTATTAGGTACAAAACAGTGCTCAGACTGAAAAAAATGGCTCCTATTGATTCAGTTAAACCAACTCCATCAAGAAATTCAAAATATATATCTCCAGATGATACTAGAAAGACAGACTCTCAAACATAAAAATTCAAAAAGCAAATACCTGTTCTGGTTTTCTGCTAATAAGAATACTCAGAACCTTGCTAAAGAAACTGGCCAATAATGGATTTAGAGGTGGCTCATTTAGAAGAAAACTATACAGTTTTATTAGTAATGATTCCTCTTCACCCAGTCTATCATTGATCTGTGAAACATCGGAAGTAAGCAGCTCACAAGATATATTTGGATATCTAAAAGAAAATAGTTGAGGTTTTATTTTACTAGAATTACAAAGCCATAAATTTTCAAAAAGACATACATTATTATTTCACAACCTGTTAAATTCTGAATTAACCCAGCCAACTTTTACAACCTGTGCAGGTTTCATAGAACTTCCATTTGAGAATAGCACTTCAATGAAGCTACTTTATATAGGTCTTCAATTGATTTATATATAAGTAGACATTATTTATAAAAACAACATAAAGTATCCTTATCATCATCAGATCTAACCCTGACACAAACCCCAACTTCTGACCAAAAGCAAAAGTTGAGAATTAAAAAAGCAGTGTAACAATATACAGGTCTCCAAGGATATGTACAGCATCAATTTGGAAAGAGTAAGCCGCATCTAGAAAACATCTAAAGTTGCAGCTGGTCAGTGTAGCAACATCAGCACTTCCTATGTGGCGTTCATGCACCATACTAGAGGAATGGGAGCAAACACAAGACAGAGCCACTTAGAGGTACACCTCTGGTAGGCAACAACCAGCAACAGGAGCCACAGCAAGCTATAAGGCTTACAGGGGGCAAGTGAGAAACCCTTTGGAGAGCTATTATGAAATGTAACAAGGAACACTCCCATGAGCAATTAGGAATGCCAATTTGACAATCACCTCAAGGCACAACAGAAAAATCTATTTTGATTACTGCTCTACAGGCCACAAAAACCTCCATAAACGTTTCAATTTTTACAAGTAAGATTCATGTGGTCATTGGGTGTGACATACAATAAATTGTAACCAGCTTGTCAGGAGCAAACAAGTAGACCTACGCATGTAGAGTTCAAACTAACTACTTTGTTGTTCTCTGCCCATTACACAGGAGTCTCCCCAGATCGACAGCTTTAGCCTGGGAACAACCGGATAAGGCTTTAAAGCATTCAAGGGGAGGGAGTCAGACCTAGCTCTATTTGGGTTTACTTAGCAAGTCCAGGCTGATTCCTTGCTTGAGCCTTTCTCCCAACAGGGATGATTGCTCTCCAATGCAACCACAAATATAGTTGAAAAATATATACATTATTCATTTATTTAGGAAATTAGGAAAAAGACAGTTATGCTCTTCTGGAAGAAGAGATTGTTGGAAGGTAAAACCAATCCTATGCTTCATTTTCCCCATTATGTTTTCCTGCAGCAACAAAAAGTTGGTGAAGATCTGATTGTATGAGTTACAGATGTTCACATGTTCTCACTTAAGAGCATTACTATAATATGCATTCTACAAGGTTGCCTATACAGAGATGTGGAACTTTCAGTTGATGCAGAATACAATAGCTAGGTTACTGGATGGGGTAGTGGACCCTACAAATTACTCCTTTGTTGAACTAAATGTACCAATTACCAATCGTCTGTTGAGCAGTTCAAAGTTTTGATTTTGATATATATGACTCTAAACTAGAAGCCTGATATGAGGTTCTTGCATTTACCAAGATCTGTAAAGCCTATACTTTGAAACATTTTCATTTATCATATTCATAAAGTTTCTTAAATTACATTTTAGGGGATGTCATATGGAAAATATCTCTCTTCACCAAGTCCCTGCATGAACTGTTATGTGAATGGCTGTTGACACATTTTTGTTTTTCCTTCATCCCTTCATTTTTAACTGAATCTATTAATTTTATATTGCTTTAATTTATATTTGCATTTTATTACTATTATTATTAGCAATAGCTAGTATTACCAATAAAATTAATATTACTCAAATATCTAATATTTCATTAGAAAAGTTGATCGCAAATCACTTCAAGAAAAATCGGACCTCAGCATTTTATGGCCCCTGGACCACATCAGGCCCTCCGGCTGTCCCTGTCTAGCCCTCGTGAGATCAATTCGAAATTAGCAATCAAATGAAGTGTACCCTGCTGCTGTGGCCCGCCAGCTGCCAGTAGAGCTGGTGGCAGACTCAGACAAAGAGGAGGTTGGGGAGGAATTTGGGTCAGTTCTGGAGTCTGTGGACGCCTCTGATGGATGCTCTGTGTTGGATGCAGAGACAGAGCCAGGGCTGTCTTAACATTTCCCAGCCATCTGAGAGGCAGTTGCCTTCAGAGGCTGATATGAGTACGGGCGTTGGTACTTACCTGATACGCCCGTTCTCTGTGAGCTGTGAAGAACACCCAGAAGTGGGAGGTGTTTCAGTCTCTTCTGGAAAGGCTGGGCTTAAAACTCGGGGATGCTCCTCCTCCTCCACGGGACACCTCCCCAGCGCCCCCCAGTTTTGCGAAGACTGAGTGCCAAAGTCCGGAACTCATCACCTTATCTAGATCCCTGGCCGGAACGGAACCCCACCAGACAGAAAGAAATGGGTGGGGCTGGATGCTCTTCACAGCTCACAGAGAATGGGCGTATCAGGTAAGTACCAACGCCCTTTCTCCCATGAGCTGTTCAGAGCATCCAGAAGTGGGACATACCAAAGCTTGGCCTGTCCTTAGGGAGGGACTCCATCTGGATCGAAATCTACTTCTAAACTCTGTGGACCCTCTGCAGGACTCTTCTGTCAAATGAAGCTTCTGCTGAGGCATAGACATCAATTTTATAATTTCTGACAAAGGGCAATGGTGAAGCCCAAGTTGCCGCTCTGCAAATTTCGTCTATGGAAGCCCGTGTGGCCCATGCTGCTGATGTTGCCGCACTCCTTGTTGAGTGGGCTGTAATGCCGTTAGGAACTGAGATGGACTGGCATTCGTAACTTTAGCTATGGTGGCTCTCAACATCTACCAGTGGTCGTTGACGACACCTTGTGTCCTAAAGTGGATGAGTTGAAGGATAGGAATAGAGCCTCAGATTTTCGAAATGCCGCTGTGCAGTCTAAATAGATGCTTAATGCCCTTCGAACGTCAAGTTGATGCCATTGATGCTCCAGTCTAGGAGATGGTTTCGGACAAAAATTTGGAAGCACCAACTCCTGTGCTCTGTGGAAGACTGAATTTACTTTAGGGTGATCCAATCTGAGAACCACTCTGTCCGCATGAAACACGCACAGGTCCTTTCTCATCAACAATGCTGCCAATTCGGAAATCCTCCTTGCTGATGTGATCGCAATTAAGAAGACCACTTTATACGTCAGGAATTTGAGACTAGCGGTTCTTAAAGGCTCGAACGGGCCAGTTGTAAGTGCGGTTAACACCTTGTTGAGCTCCCAAGTGGGATAGCGGTGAAATACAGGTCGTAAGTTTGCAGCACCCTTAAGCAAGCTGCGGACATGTGGATGGTGCGCCATGGAATGAAGGTCACCCCAGGATATCACCAAGGCTTAGGCCGCCACCTGTCTGCGAAAAGTATTTGGAGATAAGCCCTTGGTCAACCCCTCCTGTAAAAAGTCCAATAATTGTTCTAATGATGGGGCGGTTGGGTCGATCTTAGGCCCCCGGCACCAGGGACAGAAAGCGGACCACGTGGCTTCGTATATACGATTTGTTGAGGACCGTCTGGATGCTTGTATGGTGGCAATGGCATCCTCTGAAATCTGTTGGGTCCTTAAACGGCTCTGCTCAACCTCCATACGGTTAGGCTGAGCCATTGTGGGTCCAGGTGAAGTACTGGCCCTTGAGAGAGAGAAACCCTCGACGGTGGAATTTTCCAAGGTTGTTCTCTCAACAGGTCCTGTAAGTCCGCAAACCATGTTCGCCTGGGCCAGTAAGGGGCGACCAATATCAATTCCGCTCGTTCCTCCAATAACTTCTGGATCAACCTGGGTATTGCAGGGAGTGGAGGAAACACATATATAAGTCTGGGAGGCCACTGACATCGCAGGGCGTTGACGGCCTCCACCCCCTGAGTCGGGTACCTTGAAATATACCAGGGCAATTGGGCATTGAGGGGAGAGGCAAATAGATCGATCACCGGTTGCCCAAACCTCCGCACTGCTTCCTGGAAGAAAGACGAGTGTAGGCGCCACTCTGTCTGATCTATCGTGGCCCTGCTGAGCCAGTCCACTTGTGTGTTTAAGGCCCCTGCTATGTGCTCTGCCTTGAGCAAAAACAGATTGGCCTCGGCCCACTTGAACAACCTGGCCATCTCCAGCATCAGAAGTTTGGAGTGGGTACGCCCCTGTCTGTTTACGTGGGCCTTGGTTGTGATATTGTCTGTCAAGACCAGAATGTGGCGTGATTGGAAAAGAGGTAGAAAACTGCGTCATGCCAGATGAACTGCTCGCAGCTCCAACAGGTTGATGCTTTGTGATTGTTCGGAAATAGTCCAACTTCCCTGTGCAGTGTGGGATTGGAAGTGAGCTCCCCATCCTACCAGACGAAGCCTGATGATGGCAGATGAGATTCTGCCGAAACGTTGCTACAACTTTAAAAGCACAACTACAATGACGTGGGAAAATACCCGAACAAAGCTGAATACCATACACGTAAGTACCCATGAAAACTTAAGAAAACAAATATATATATATGCATATACATATACGTGCCTATATCTGCATGTAAAACTGTGTATATGGGAAACAGTATCTAAGGGTCCCCAACAAGGGAAACCCCCAAGCGCTCCAAGCAAGAAATATTTTGGATCCCTGGTCCCCAACAAGGGAAACCAGCTATACAGGGCCTGGATGGATCCTTTTCCTGTCAAAAACATCCCGCTGTTTGAAATGGCACTTGCAGCTTCACTCCAATGTAATGATCCAAAAGCAATTGCAAAAGGGAAAAAAATCCTGTTTAAGGACTACCCTGCTTATCCAACGCCAGCAAGATAAAAGAGAAATAATGCCAGGGAAGTGGAGTGGGAAGGTACTTGCCCCGGTCCCCAAGAAGGGAAACCAGCGGGGAATGGCGCCTGTGATATTTAGGCGCAAACTTGAAGCCAGCCGTTGAAAATGGTGGGAAAGCAGAATCTCCGATGTTAATGGCCTGAGCAGTTTAACGAGCCGCTGCCGCTAACTCTCTAAATTGTCAGATAAATTATCCTGTCAGTCAAAACAGAAAGGAGAAGTGAGCCGTGGCTGCGAGTGCTCCGCCAAGATCGCAGAGATAAGACGATTGGGGGATTAGATAAGCTAACTGCTGAAGCAGCCGTCTCAGGCTGCCTATGGAGTGGCAGGCTCCGCCAGCCATAAAGAACTGCTCTCAAACTGATCGGGGGGATGACCTAATAGAGCTACAAGCCTTGAAATCGCCAAATTAATTGGGGAAAAATTTACAAGCCAAATTAACTCAAGAGCAAACCTGAATTTTGACTAGCTGAATCAGAAAACCATTCCAGTCAGGGAGTGCACAACCTCTTACCACGAAGGCTGAGCTAAAACTGGGGGGTGCTGGGGAGGTGTCCCGTGGAGGAGGAGGAGCGTCCCGGAGTTTTAAGCCCAGCCTTTCCAGAAGAGACTGAAGCACCTCCCACTTCTAGATGCTCTGAACAGCTCATGGGAGAAAGGAAGAAGAGCAGCTGGGACCTGTTCCAGCACATATGCGCAGAGCTGTTAGGAGAGGTGACAATGGAGTCCAAGGAGTTGACTTGGGAAGCAAAGCACATGTGGACACTGAATGGCTCCTCCCTGGCTGAGGAATAAGTAGAAGGAAAGACCTTAATTTGCAACCTTTCCAAGCCACCGTCTTGCAATTATTGCAAGGAACTGATAAGGTCTGTTACTGCAGTTAACTCTTTGAAGGACTATTGCCTGGACTTTTCGGTGGGTGAATGCCATTAATTCACAAGAGGTAAATAAAGAGGGGGGTTTCGTGACAAGGAGTCTGTTTCTTGCTTCTGCTAAGGCTGGCTCAGAACAACCACACACACATTTGAGAAGCCTATTGGTTCGGCCTTCACAACAATCCCAGTTTCTCCTGTGGCCCCTTGGGAAAATTAACTGCCCACCCCAAATAAGACAAAGTAATGTTCAAATATTAGTAGTAACAATAAATAATTTTTGTTGATACAATTATTTTCATTTTACATGGTCTTAGCAAGTCATGAAAGAGAAGATTTTTTGAGAGTATTTATCTTAGCATACAACCCACACTTCCTAAAATTAGTAGCATGCAAAATATCTTTTCCCAACTTCCTAGTTTTTCAGTGTCTAGCTTTTAGATTAAATATATTTCTTACTTGTATCTGATCTTTTCATCCATGTCTTGAGGTGGCTCTTCTATAATGAATGATACTAGATTTTCCAGACATTCCGATTTTAAAAGAAATTCTATAAGTTTGCGATTTTGAGCTTTACACTCTTGTAACACATCTTCTTCATCCATCAGTTCCTTCAGTGTTACATCTTCTTTCTCTAGAAGTGTGTCTATATGGGATGATGAATGAAGATCAAATTTCCAAAACATGCTGGTCTGGAGAAAGGGGGAAAAATAATACACAGCTTTAATTAATGTAGTTTTTAAAAAGCCTGCTTAAGAAAGCCATTCCACGACACACCACCCCCGTTCTCAATTCATACGCAAAAAAACCTGTAAAAGCAAGAAACTACTGTAGCAAAATAAATAAATATAATGCAAGGAAGAAAAATACTACCAGTATCAAAGTGCCTTAAATGATAAGCCAATGTCTTTAATATATCAATACAGTGATTAGTCATCCCAAGATTTTAATATGGAAATAGTTTGTGTGTTAATCAACAGCAGCAAGAAAAGTATCTAACTCAGAAATTTGATTTTACAGTATTTTAGCATATTTTTGCCCTTTTTTACTCGAAGCCTGATTCCAACAATGGTCAACTCAGGAAATTGCTATTAAAAAATTAATCTAACTCTATTGCTGATCCACATTTCCATCCTTAAGCGTCTATGTATTTTCTCATATTTTTCTCTTCAGACAGTATTTGCAAATAATGAAGTCACTGTTTGAATAAAATTTGGATGTCTTCTGGAGTTTGCAAAACGCATCAGTAGAACAAACCATTAATACTGCATCTGTCAGGCCTCATACTGAGTCCCTGTTCTTTCTATTGTTACCAGAATAAATTTATTTGATAAAGAAAATGTTTAAAATGTATTGGCGTATATAGAATATTAGGAAAATATTTACGGTATTATTTCCTGAATAATTCAATACTGCCTCATTATTGTTAAAAATTAAGCAGGAAATGCGGGAGAGTTAAAATCCTTTCATGATTTCATGATTTTTAAAAAATCAGTGTCCAATTATTTGTTTTAATAAAAAAATACTTTTTTTTACTCTTAATATTTCAAATAGTATCATTAAACACCCTCCCCCAATCTGGATCTTTTAGATGTTCAACTGGCTACAATTTCCATTATCCAAACCTTGGTTACGTTGACTGAGGCTGATGGGAGTTAGACCAAAATATCGACTGTCAGGCTCAGAGGGTTGTATTAAAGATAAATTAGTATTAGGGTGCATTAGAAGAATTTTATTTCAGAGAAAAAATGGGAATTAGCTAGATGATTCTCTGTATATTAATGTAAAATTTCAAAATGCTCAACAATTCTATATCCATCAATTTAGTAAGTTAGTAATTCCCTAAAGCAGGGTAATGGCAACCATCAATTAATTACATTATGAAAATATTATGTGCTCAAACTGCAATGAATTAAAATCATACAATGATAATTGTGGTTGTTTCATTTTAAGACAACAGAGAGAGCAAAAGTTTCATGTACAGCCAATCCTGCATTGTTTTGAATTAAATACTACCTATCTTCAATTAAGCACATGCATGATAGTTTAATCATAGGGAGAGAACTATACACATTTTGATTTTGTGAAAGAAACTACCTTATCAAAGCCAATCGTGTTTTGTGGGCCCATACTTCAATGCACTGGCCTTTTAAAAATAATTACAATTCTCTAAATATACACACCTGGAACTGAATTCAGTGAAACCAATAAAGCTTACTTCCAAATGTAGATCCTTAGCATTGTAGTAAGAAACAATATTTAGCAGTCATGGAGGGGACCAAAAGAATGATACAGGATTTAACACAGGATTTTTAAAAGTATGTACAGAGCTCTAAATAATTAAGCCAATTTCTGGCTTGGCTGCCTCTTGCAGTATGACCCCTACCCAATAAAGTTAACTATCACCTGCTTTTGGTATCAACCTAATCATCATAAAATTAAAAAGACAGAAGAATAACCAATGAATTAATATATTAGTACTTTTTCAGAATTTAAGTTCTATACATCAAATATATTTTACACAAATGAAAATCCAACATTGGCTTATTTATCAGGCCACTGCTACCACTTATTCCAAATATATAAAGCAATTCTGCCCTATATCCTATTAAAAATCTGATTTCCATATTTTAGCTCTTCTCAAAGAATTCCAAATCTTTGTGAACGAAATATCCCTGTGCATTCAACCTCTAGCCCAATGGACATTTAAAAAGAAGACCTTTCAAGAAGATGGAATTTAGTATCAAGAAAATATGTGTACCTCATGGTACATGAAATTCTACAATCTATGACCCATTAATTTGTAATAGTAGTCATGGAAGACCAATATTAAATATCAACAAAAAAGAAAGCATACTACTGCAAACATGTTACTGCGTTATTTCACAAGCTTTCTCCCAGGCAAGCTGTTTTAGGAGCTGGTTTCTCAATATGGCAGGTGCTGGCCAGATTATTCCATCACTTTCAACAGGAGACCAGGACCCTTGGAATAAGGAAAAATACCCAACATGGATCAAAGGGTAAATTGCAGGATCCCCAAAAATATATATTTTATTGAACTTAAATCTTTAAGATGTAATTATGCTAACAAACACATATTCTATCCAAGTTCCACTTACTATTCCAACATAACACTCTGGTTCTCAACTAGGTTGTAAAACAGCCACCTAATTTCATATAGTTCTGGCAAAGTCTTATCAGTCTGGTGTTATTTGCTCCCAAGGAGAGTATATATAGCATTGCAAGAGAAGACTACAACCACCAAAGCTGAACCCAATAATGGAGGGTTCTTAGGAGAGCTAGTCTACTGATTCTCAAAATAAAAAAAATAATAATAAAAAGCATTTTTATTTTTAAAAAATTCAAAATCTTATGACAGCCAAATCTATGGCCTCTCATTATTTGTTTAAATTGATTAAAGCAAAGTATATGTTGCTGCTGAAAAGGTTATTGATCTTTGAACAAGTATAATGAAGAGAATATTTTTGTTTTTTACTCTGCCTTTATCGTTTTATAAATAATTCAAAGTGGCAAATATATATGATAGCCTTCCTCCTATTTTTTCCAACAACAACCATCCAGTGAGATGGGTTGGACTGAGAGGAAATGACCAATCTAAGGTCACTCAGCCAGCTTTCATACCTAAGACAAAACTACAACTCAGAGCTTCCTGGTTTCTAGGCCAGCACCTTAACCACTATAACAGACCGTCTCTCAAAAAGAAGAAACAAACTGAACACAGGATTCAGTGATGTATTAAAATAGTTTACTGGATTTCATTATTTTCAGGCAAAAAATACATTTATCTTCACAATGACTGAGGGGTCATACAAATAGTTTTTATTGTCACAGAGTGCAGGAAACAAATGCCAATATACCAAAAACTGAATATATAATCGGCATTTCTACTGTAAGTGAAAAAAGGAGGTATCTGGATGATTTGACCCTAAAATTTTATTTTCCAGGCTTATTTGCATTTAACAGCTATAATCTCATCAAATATGATAAAGAGATTCTAGATCATTTTGTGAAGATTATTTCAGTATTTAAGAATTGCCATTAAAAAAAAGGCTTAGCTTATCAGTCTTCAGCCTTTTCCTAATCAATACATTACAGCTAGTGAAGCAATCTCCTTCTCTAATTGAGTTTTCTGTTGTTCTATTACTTACCAGGAATATTCATAATCTTTACTCCAGGTGTACAAAACAAATTCTAAGTGACCATACTCCACCTCCATAGACGAAAAATTTCAAAAAAAAAAATGTCTTCTTTTCACACCTCTAGTACACATGGAAACTTCTCACTAATAGATATTTCAGTAATTCTTTTTTCTAACTTCCAATCAATGCACCAAGAGTTAAGGTAGCACATAACAAGGTAGCTGTGAGATTATTATTTTGGCTTTACAATTAGAGGCTACTGCCTTCGATATGCATGCCATGTTTTATGCTGTTTTTACAGTACAAGTGAGTCAGGGATCTGCATTATTACATCACAGAAGGACATAAGCATTTCTCCACAGCTTTTAGATGACCACCAAGAATACTGATATTCATTTAATTTTACATTAACACTTGTACATTTTGTAGTGTCCTTTTACACTGTGCCAGTACACTCTTCTTTTACTTTAGAAGACAGCTGCAAAAGACACTATAGAAATATGTATTTGATATATTTAACTTCTTGGCCTTATAAAGTTTCTGTTAAATCAGAGAAAAATCTAATCTCAATTTCACATATCATTCCAAACTGTTGATGCCAGACTTATTAGACAGATGCAATTACACAAATAAGAAGCTTGCAAGCATCTTTTGCAAGTATATGATCAGCAAGCCAACAGCTGGAAACTGACCTATCCAATCACCTATCCAATATATGCAATACACCTAGAAATTACTAATATTTCTGTGATTCATGCCCCTTAATGATATTTCAGCCCATTGTTCGTGCAACTTATTCTATCCCCCGAGAGAAAAGCAAAGATGATAGTGAATAAACTCATAAAATGGATGGGATATCTCGTGTATGCCTCCTTCCTCGTTCTCATATTGGTATTTTCCAAACACAGAGTAGCTTAGTGGTGCAGGTGTTCATCTCTCACTTGGAAGGTTGAGAGTTCAACCTTAAGTACAAACAATATGTCTCTCCTAGGAAGCAAAGAAAAAATATCTGTTGCGAACTCTACGTGGCATCAGGAAGGGCATTGGCCAGTAAACACTCAGCTTCATCCAATCAGCCCGATTCTATCCCAAATTAAGGGATTAAAGGTTCATAAAAAGTTTTATCTATGCGCAAATAGTCTTTGTGGTTACAACCACATGAGCAGCAAGAGTAAGGGGAACTTACAACTGATCCTTGAAGTTGTGTCCATTGCATTGTCCTACAGTCACGTGATTGTGATTTGGGTGCTTGACAATCGCCTCATAATTACAATGGTTACAGTGTCCTGTGGTCAAGATTGCCATTTGCAACTTTCCCTCCTGGCTTCTCGCCAGTAAATGGAAAGCCAGCAGAAGATACCAAGTTACTATTGCAGGTTGCTCCTGGCTGTTCTCCGGACCCTCCAGGTGGCATGGGGGTCTTATCCCCCTGAAGGACTCCTGTCCATATTCTGAAGCACCTGCCCACCATAATCTTTAGTGCTGACCCTCCTGCCCACAGCTCTCACATGCTGGCCTGCTTTCATGGGACACGATTTCAGCATCACAAGCAAATGCTTCTGGATTCCTCTTCCCACATTGAGGCATGTGAGTTTCTCACCAAACCACAGCACCAGGCACTGCTGGAATTGACATTGCTAAGCCATGTGGTCATGTACCTCTACTTTATGACCATGCTGCCCAGTGACAGAAATTCCAGTTCTTGCTTAGCCATTGTTAACTGAGAAATCACATTAGCTGGAATATACTAGAACAGCAGCTGGTTTGGAATAATCTTCCGGTTTTCTGGTTTATGCATGCAACAAAATGGAACTTTTAGAACAGGAGAAATATTAGTTACTAAGTAGAAGCAAAAGGAGAGAAAAATTTGGGAAGATCAGGGAGCTGATAGGATATACCACACTGAAAGTCTGGGGGTGGCCTGGAAGATGGGATGGGCAGATGAGTCAAAAAGAGCATGGGTCGCTAACGTTTTGGACCTCAGGGACCACCAAACTCATAATTTTAAATCCCAGGGACCACTAACTGGTTCTGTGGGTGTGACCTAATTTGTGGGTGTGGCTTGGTGGTCATGTGACTGGCTGGGCGTGGCTTCTATGTAAATATTATAAATATTTATATAAATATTGATTTTTTTTAATAAAAGAGCAACTTTTACCCAAAATCAGGCAAAGCAGGCAGGGGAAGATTGAGTTGCTCACAGAATCACAGATTCACTTAGAGATCTGTGTTTCTGCCATCAGCTACCTGAGTCTGCACTGCTTTAGTCCTAAGGAAGATTAGGAAATCCAACGATTTCCTGCTTTCTAGATAATCTAAATCTCCCGGCACAGCAGAACAGCTGATGGTCAGAAAAGGAAAAATAGCAACTTAGCAGGCAAGTTTGCCAGGTAAGGAGTGAGTGGGCAGGGTAGGTTCCCATGGGCCATGTGGGCGGCGCAGACTTGTGTTCCCACACAGCCTGGATTAATTGCTTTTGGGGGGTGCTCTGGGGATGACATTTCTCTGCGGACCACCAAAATTTTCTCGCAGACCACAGCCCACCGTTTGGCGACTGCTGAAATAGAGTATGTCACATTAGGAGTTGCTGAAAAGGAAAAAAAAAAAGGGTGATACAGACACTAACAATGGCCCTATCCAAATTTTCTTTTGTCCAAAACTCCAATCAACCAAAACATACTGAGTTTTAGTTTTATGGAATCAAGGCTTGATTCAAATCTGTTCAGAAACTCTGGAACATAATGCTTTGTTCCAGATTTTAAAAAATAAAATTCTCATTTGATGCATTCCCTGATACTTAGTTTCAAAAACGTAACTGTCCATCATTAACATGTAGCCTTAGAATATTATCCTGTAAATGAATACAGGAAAATGTCGAATATTTCATGCTCAGGAGTGATCACCTATGTGCTTTCTAGAACCTATTTAATGAGAGCAAATTATGTGGCATACATGCTGGAGTGCAGAATTTACATGGCAGGTGGTTATTACAGTCTCCTTTTCAGTTAAGAAAAATCTAAAAAGCATTTCCATACTATAACCCGGGCTAAGGAAAATATTGTTGATAAACACTGTTGATGAAGTATGCATTGGAAATGCTCAAAGGGCAAAAAATATTCTTGTATGCCAAACAATGACTGCAAAGATCACCAAGTACAATGTTCAATACGTTTAATGAAAACAAGTAATTTTCCAATATTCTTGACCTAGAAACCCTCCAATTATGTGTTCCATAATATCAGCACTATCAGAGGACTGTGCAATCAATATCCATTAATGATTAAATATTTTAAGCAGCTGTACTAAAAAGCATCTCTTAAAATGATATCTGAAGATCAGCAAATAAATCATGCATTCTTTTGCAAAGGCAATGTATTATTTGTAATGCCACTGTCAGTAACTAAAGAGGTTCCAGAAGAAAGCTTTTAAATTACTACGATGGTCTTACTATTAGCTAAATATTAACTGAAAAAAATGTTTTAGAATATAAACCATAAAATGATTTCTATCAGGAAAAAAAATCCCTTGGCTATTTATACACTGAGGAAAAAATATATAGACAAAATAATAGAACAGCATATTGTATCAAAAATTATATTGGTTGTAAACATTTCTTATAGAATACTGACAGTATAAAGTATCTGCTTGAAATCTGGCATGTATCTAGGTACTCACTAAGAAAGGATTTTTCGAAATGACCATCGAAGCATTAGTATTTCGTATATTATTAACACACTCTGATACCAAGGAGTTCAACTCCCGCTTCCCACCTGAAAAAAAATCTGTTCCAAATGCAAAACACAAGCAGTGAAACAAGGAATTT